TGAAGAATTAGGTGGTACCTGCCGCTGTAATAGACTCATTAGTGGGTCTCGAATTGTCAGATAAATAGCAACGCGCACCAGACTAGCCGGTGCGATAATGCGTTTTGTCCAACTTAACCCATCGAACAATTGCCTATTAATGATTTTCACTGCTTTGTACTTTAGTCTTTGCAAAAATAGTTCAGACATTGGAAAATAGTTAAAAATTTCACGCACCTGCGCATGAAAGCTGAATTCGAAACCTTGAAGGGTGAATATCTTTCCGTGATCCCCGAGTTAATACTTTGCCCGCCAAAACTTCCACGAGGTCGCAGGTGATACTTGAGCGCGGGAACGCTGAATTTGAATAGGCAAGGTTGAGCGTGGGCGAGGGTCATTGCCCTAAAAATTCAGCTTCCTAGACCCCATGGTTCCCGAGATAATCATTTGCCCGTAAAAGCTTTCACTAGCCCATGGTTGATATCCGAGAGCGCGGGAACGCTGAATTTGAATAGGCAAGGTTGAGCGTGGGCAGGAGGTCACTACCGTATAACTTCAGTTTCCTAGACTCAGTGATTTCTGAGATAATAATTTACCCGTGAAAAATTTTCACGGGGGCGTACGTGCTACCCGCGGGTACAAGAAGGTTGAATTAGAGCTTTCTGGATCGCACGTGGTTAGGGAACATACCCATGAAATTTTAGCTTCTTAGGTTTCTTAGTTCCCGAGATACTCATTTTACCCGAAAAACTTTTACGGGGCCGTACGTGTTAGTCACGGGTACTGGAAGGCTGAATTCAAATTTGCCGCGTCACTCGTTAACGGGGAACACTATACCAAAATTTCAGCCGCCTAGCTTTTGTGGTTCCCAAGTTGAAAGCGCGGGACAAAGTATGGGGCACACACACAGGCAGCCCCGTGACAATATGCGTTTTGTACTGCTGTTGCACAGCACAAAACGCATAACAAGAGGTGGAAGCGGTAAAACAGCAACGGACCTGTAGAGTGAGGAATCAAATGAAATTTTTGTTTTTTTTTTCAGGTTACTCTGCTGCTGAATGCACTTCACGTGCCGTCGTGCCAGTGCGACATCTGCAAACCTCGCTATCAGAATCAGATCGAGATGTTCAAACTATTAAAGGAGAATGCAACACTGCCAGCAGCAGCAGCAGTGTTATCGCCCGATAAGGATTTAAGCGATAAACCACCAACCGATACCACACAAAACGGATTTATTGAGAAACAGTTGTGCATAAATAAT